TTTTTTTTTTTTTTTAATTCTTGAGTTCCAGGCAAAGCTCTTTGTTCAGCCAGGCCAGTCTTCTTCCCCACCGTCTCATCATTCAGCACACAGGGAAGACCTGCTCCTGTGCCTTTAAGATTTCCATCTTGAAGAATGTCCAGCCTTTCTGTACTCCTCTGCCCTTCAGGACTGCCTCCCAAGGGACCCTGTCAACCAGGCTCCTAAACAGGCCTTCCTTAGTTGGCTCACTCACCAGCTGTGTCAGGAAGTTATCTTCCACACACTCCAGGAACCTCCTAGACTGTTTCCTCTCTGCTGTATTGTTTTTCCAGCTGACGTCTGGTAAGTTGAAGTCTCTCACAAGAACAAGGGCAAGCGATTGTGAGATATGGGAGACAAACCAATCATACTAGACACATCCGTTCACAAGGCCATGGGCATGTCAGGAATGTGGTGAAAAGACAGAAGAACCCTTCCAATGAAAAGATGACCTGAAGATGCATAAGTGGATATTTAGACAGGTACTTGTCTTTTTTTATTTATCAAGCCAACCACCACCAAAGACAAAAGCCTAGCAGCTAAACTGCCCAGAGTTCCTACCAGCCAGCCTATCTAGGGCAGCAACCCAGAAACCATCACAAAAGGGAGAGCCCTACTACAGTATGGTATATGCCCACATAAGATTTTGGGTGAATGAGTCTTATTAAATAGCAACCTTGTTCTGAAAAGCCTACACTATGTAATGAAAGAGATGCACGGGACACTAGTATTTGCCATTTATCCAGTTAAGCAATAAAAAAATATTATAGCTGCAAAACAAAAAAATCTGTTACCTAAATAGCCAAACTTAAAAAAAAAAAAGAACAAAACCTTTGCAATTGTCATAAGTGTGGAAAACAGTGCATCTTGACTTCTTGTTATCAGCTTCTTGCCTGTACACTGAAAAATATTAGAAGCATTCCTCCCACTGTGCAAGGATGCACAGTGCATCTGTGCTATAGAAGGTATGCTTGATTACAGGGGAAAGGGCTGGGAAAGCATTATTTTGAGGGGGGACAACTCTACTGAAGGGTGGAGATTAACACTTGAATGTAAATGCAAATATCTTAAGACAGTTGGATTTATGGGGAAGCAATCTCCAGAAGCTCTTGAAAGTACCTCTAGTTTCTTATTATTATTATCTAAAGCCAGTCTAAGAAGACAGGAAGGTGACTTGTTCAGGTTCTTGGTGGGTTTTTTTGTTTGTTTTATCCCTTGGTTTGGTAGTGGCATCCATCACAACTAAGAACTGAATCCAAGCATCCCAAAGACAGGAGAGCAAGACTAGCATGGTAGCCTCTGTGCTGTGTCAGCAGGTTTGGGTTTTTTTTTTTTTTGGTGGGGGTTTTTTTGTGGTGTTTTTTTTTTTTTTTAAAGCATGGGTAGTACAAAAACGTTAGCAGGAGTACAAATTATCTATTTCCCACCCCCCCTGCCACTTACAGAACGTCTGCTGAAAGTGAGTTAGTGTTGGTGCTTCTGGAGCAACATTGTAGAAATGGGTCTTCAGAGCTCCACTCACAAGCAGGTTGTATGCAAGGTCTGTTATGTTAATGCCCACGATAGCAAAAGAATAGCTGTAAGAAAAAGAACACTTTCAGCACACTGTAAGAAACACTGATGACACTGACACTGCAGATTTTGTGTGCTACTGAGGTGTATTAATTCTCTCCTTCGTGAGCTTCCAAGATGGGGGGGTGGAAAACAAGAAAAACCTTTATCCTGCCTGCTTTGTACATGCTAATATCAGTGTTTCCCTTGTGAAACATATGGTCACAGTGAAAACAGGAGTTTCATCACTGTGCCAGCATTTTCAGTGGAGCAGCGCAGATTCATTCCTATGGAGTGAGAACAAGCCCAGGCATCCCTGTGCTCCTGCATTCATCTCTGACACAGGGCAAGCACTCCACATGGTGGCCATGTCTGCAGGGTGACCCCTTGTTTGCTATTTTAACCCATCTGCCCCACTGGAATTCATTACCCACCGTTAGGAACATCAGGTTTCAACAATCAGTCCTATAAGGACATTCATATGGCTAAAAAGCCTGTGAAAAAGATCCAGCTGAGTCACCTCCAATTTCTTCCTAACAGAGAACTAGATACATAGGCCAGAAAACAGCCAAAATCTAAATCAGAGCATGCTGGAAACAGAAATAAGAAGATCAGATTCATGAAGCAACCCCCTGTCCTGCTAAGAGATATCAACAAGGAAAGTGTATTTAGGCACAACAGAACTCAGAAACTGGAAGTTATTTCTTAATTTGCGAGCCTGTTGCATAAAGAACTTGACATTTCTGGCAGTGATTATTTCCCAAGAAAACATATAATGTCCCACATTGACATTTAGTGATAAAAGCAAACTTGTTTAGTTATTCATTGATTTTTTCCTTCCCGCACCACCCCCCACCCCAAACACAGCTGTCATCTATAGACTGTCCTTCCTGGGTATTTTTTCAATTATCTCTATCAAGCAAAATTAAATACTTTCTTTTTCTTTAACCTTTGATATATTTCAGGAGGAAAAATAATAAATAAAAGTCCAGAAGTTAACTGCAACGTGAGGCCTAATGGCAAGTTTCAGAGAAAAATGAAATATGGGCATTGAAATGTTGTATTACAGATTTTCAGATCACTCAGAAGGAACATCCAGTTCCATATTCCTAAATAGTGCAGCTATACCAAACCCACTGTTTAAGAAGAAAAAACCTCACTACTACTTCTTCCCTATTATACTTTCCTGAAAGCAGATCAGAACCTGGCTCTGACAGTAAGAAATGAGACTTGATCACATTATGTGTTAAGAAGAATTAAACAGATACTCATCACTGCACTATTCATAGCACACAGAGAAAGCTTATCCTTGCTACAACATTTTTGGGTTATTTTTCCTAATTCTTACTTCAAACTGGTTTTCCTGTAATCTTTGATCAAAGTCAAGGTGTGGTTAAGACACTACAGGTTAGTACGTACACTGAAATTTCCTTTAAAAAGTAACCAGGAAACACATTTTTCCCCTCAAATATGCAGCATCATTGTTAACTGTTGTATTTGTGGCAACTTTAAAAAGATTCTTAAACTTACCCAATTGCCTTATCAAACTTTTTCTTCTCCCATTCAGCTTTGCTGAATTGGCTTGAAGGGAAAAAAAAAAAAAAAAATTAAAACCCAGATATTGCCATGCATTACTGACAAATATTTTCTTCCAATTTCTTTGATATTATAATATTGACTGAATATGGTATTTTACCTCCATTGATATGGCTAATCACATTTAACTCTGCTTCTGACTGAACGGATTGGTATAAAAAGACTTGAAATGGGTAACTGGCTTTATAGCATTACTGATAAACTTCTCTCATCATTACAAAGTATGCGCCTGCATCAAAGCTCTCAGTAATCACCAGTTATTTTCTATATTGACCACAAAGATGATCCACTTCAATTAAGTCTGAGCTACACAAAACGTTGAAAATATTACATTTTGTTTAACTAATCAAAGATAGTTTTAGCCTTTTGGGTTTTCAAAAAGATATACATGACACTCATCACTGGAAGCATGATTCACCTGAGGCAGCAAACATGAAAAATACTTCTCTGATAGAAAGTTTTTACGTCCAGCCAAATTAGAAGCTACTGAACAGTCAAAAATAAGGATCAGTATTTCCTATTATTTGGCACAACAATGCAGAGCTTTTCAAGGACACAGAAGGTCCTTCCCTTAAAATTAGTTAGGGAACAGATTGATTTTTAGACTAAGTTTCTGCTGTCAACAACATTTTCATTTAAGAGAGCTATGTGATGCAGCCAATCAGCCGACATCCCACTAACCAGGTTTTAATCTACTCAAATGGAGCAAGTTTAGCAGAAATCATTGCCTGCAGGCACAGAACTGACCCTAACCTGTGGGCTACAACTTAGACATGCCTGTGGGACTTTTGCCTTGGTAAGGCAGATCAGAGTTTGCAAGCTTTAGATCCCAAATTATAGACAGCTATGTGTGAAAGCATTGTTCTTGGACTATACTTGAACTACAATAAATATATATTACACTAAAAACAATCGTCTGAGCTTCATGTAAATATAGTTATTTAAAAATCGTTGCCATTAACTATTAAAGATGCTTCATACCCATCCTGATCTGGGTGTTACCAGGTGGCATGTGTGAGGACAAAACTTCACCTCCTAAATGGCTTAGCATACAGGAATACATCAGTCTTCACTCATTCTCTAAAAATCTTAACCATCTTTGTAGGCTGTGGCATAACATCAGTTAAAAAACCCAAGCAAACATTGAATAATAAAGGTGGCACATGTAGGATGTGGACAAGCAATATAGTTCAACAGAAATAGAAGTTACATTGATCATGATCACGTCAGAAACCAGCACGGCTGCTAAGCAACCACACCAGGAAGAACACCAGGGGCACCACCACCAGCATCTATCTTCTACGGAATGCTCTTTCAAGGGATAGAAATTGCACATGCTTACACAGCACTCCAAGGTGGTTGTTGGCAATCAAACATGTAAATGAAGAACACTAATGTGTTCCAAGTCCTTTCTATCACAGAATTTTTATTGGGAACTCAAGCACAAAATACTGAGGAGATGAAAAGCTTCACAGGATTCAGATGTGGACCTGCTTTATGGATATCTAACATTACTGGCAGAAGAAAAATATATTTTAAGGCAATTGATTACTATGTAACTGGCTAAGAGGCAACTCCCTCTGCACCCCCCAATTATGGAATAAATCTTCTATTCACAAATCATTCACAACACAGAATTTTTGCCACTTGAAGGTACCTGATCTCTCAACAGTCAGGACAACGGGCTAGCCATATTAGACCCATCATTAGTCAAGGCAGACAGAGTACGTGACTATAAATAAAGGGGCTCTTCAGCTGTGCTAGCAAGTCCTTGGCCTGGACTACTTTTGATTATCAAGTCAATCACAGTTGTTGTGACCATAGCAGCACTGCTCAGACTTTTTTCCTACAGGTAAAAGTCACACAAAATTTGTTCATTAAGCCTAGTACTAAATAGGTCTAAAATACAGTGCTGTAGCTACATCAAGCAAGGTTGATTTCATTCTTTATATATAAGCATGCTCAGATGTACTCAGTCTTGCACCATCAGCTACGTTTGAGTTAACTTTAGAGAAAGGAATATGGATCTCTTGGTGTTGCAACAAAGACTTTCAGTTTATAACACACCAAACTGCAGTATGGTTTGATCTGTATTTACATGTAGTGTCTAATAAAACTAAGAGAAAAGAAAAAAAAAATACCTTATTTCCTTCTTAGTGACTTCCCTTCATTATGAAAAGACAAAAGAATTAAAAGAAAGGTAAATAAAAAATACAAAATCACTTGAATTTAGAAGTATAAGTGAAAACATTTAACACTAAGTTTAACTATTTCTAAGATTCAGTATACAAGTTTGCCTCTTGGACTTGATCAGTTTTCAGGATCAGTACTTGAAAATAGATAGCATGTGGCAATACCCAAGCATATGCCCAACAAAAAGGAAAAAAAAAAAAAACCCCAACCAAAACAGCTCTTTCCCCCAAACACCAGCCAGCACAGTGCACTCTGAAGTTATTTTTCTGGTCTTGAGAATTACCTGTATTTAGGCTGAAGAGAATCAGAGAGAACTTGCTGAGCTATCTCAGTGTCCCATTCGGCAAAATACCTGCAGATATAGAAGTTTAGGGTGAGTTGTTAAAGAAACACAACAACAACAAAAAAAGCATCTTAAGTCATACTGATCTGTCCATACACACCCTTTTAAAGGTCAGTACGTATGTTATGCAGTATGAGTAGCATTTAATATGTTAAATTCATTAAGCCACCAACTCAGACCCCCAAAATGAAAGATAAAAGCAGCCTCAAATTACAAGTGCAATCCTATAAGCACTTAGTGAATGTGCATGACCAGAGTCCCCTTTCTACCCACCCTACAGAGAATCAGTTGCTCATTACTAGAGCATGTTGGCTGCTGAGCTCAAGAGAAAGCAGTTCAGCCTTCTTGATCTGGCAGATTCATTAAGCAAGAGTCATCACAGGAGACTAAGGAATGAAATACACAGTAGGGATTCATCTCCAATGGAAGTTCAAAGCCAGAGTCAAGAGTCCAAATCCAAAACTGATCTTTGCTAGAGAATGGCATACAGACAGTGGATGATTTACGTCCTTCAATCTGCAAAAGCAGAAAATATTTCTTTTTCCACTCATAGGGAGAGGTTAGTTTATCAAATGTTTCTAAGTTATGTAACTACCTGCAGTAGATACAAGGGCTAGAGGAAGTAACAGGCATTGATTGATTCCCGAGTTACCAACTACAGATATGGCACCAACACCTGGTGTGCAGGAGGCGGAAGTGAAAAAAGTGATGTAAACTCACTGCTTAATTTTGAGTATCGACAGAAATTGAAGAAGTAGTCCAACTACAGAAGTCTGCCATCAGTGGCTGCATTTCAAGTGTTTTACCTAAGAATTCAGTATGAAATTCCCAAACAAGGAAGCTGAGCAGTAACATAACCCTCCCACCTACCCACTTCCAGGGCATTTTGTTTAAGGAGATCTAGATATTGGTGAAAATATACTTTACAGTTTCTTTCTTGTGGGAAGAGAGTGCTAACTTACTGTGTCACAGAAAAACTAAAAAAAGGGCTTAGCAAGCAGTATTACTAAGTTGAATTAGGAATACTGAAAGAAAGGAGACCCCTTTGAGAATGAGAAGAGAAACCCTCCAAAAATTGGGCTAGCAAATAAATTCTTTCAATTTTTTTATATGAAGTCCCTAACCCTTTTATAAGTAATTCCCCCAGACGTACTAGAAATCTGCAACTAATGCTGCTTTTCATGACTTCAGACACACATAAACCCATCTACAGAGGAAGATACTTACACCAAGTTATATAAGCCCAGGAGACCCATCCCTCTAAAGTCTGTTTTAGGATCGTCACCTTGGAAACCAATTTCACACCACTGCTTCGAAATCCGAGCTTTCAGTGGCGAATCGGGCTTCAAGCATTTCCACAGCTAGGAAGATTACAGGTAAAACATAATTAACCTTCCACACATTACTATGGCTTTTTCTTCTTTTTAAACCAAATTAAGTTCTGATGTAATGTCACTGCATTGCTATCCCAGCAACCCAAACATAAAATCAAGTTAAATTTCCTGGGGGTGAGGAGGGTTGGGGAGAAATCCCAAACCACTTTTAAGTATTACAGATGTTTCAGCTCTACAAGGCCCTTCCGACCTTATTGACAGCTGCTGTAACATCTCGCACGAGGACTTATTTTGTTCACGCTTTGTGAACTAGCATCTGCCTCCATAAGCACAGGACAGGAATGGGCTGGAGTTTGGTTGTAAATCACTGACAGAGCAGCAGGCAATCAGCTCTCAGGTCCCTGAGGCTCTGCAGCAATCTTTTCTCTGGCATCTTTTGCAAGTGTCTGGAAGGGTTATAAATCAAGAGTGCTGACTTGGCTACCATAGTGCTGAAAAGTATATTGGAGAACACAAAAAAAAAAAAAAATCCATACAAGAATAGGATGTGCCACCTTCATAGTTAACTAAGGGGTGAATCATTCATTGATCTCACATAAAAAAAAAGGACAAAGTGATTTAAGAAGCTAGATCCTCAGCTGGAATAAATCCCCTTAACTGTACCAGTCCAGTGACTTTAGTGCCTAAATATCATGTTGCTGGGCACCTAAAAGCAGCCTAAATTGACATGTCTGACAAATACATACATTTCCACACACTTCACGTGCCATATCACAAACTCACCCTTTCCAAAGTGTATTAAGAAATCAGGTATTCTCCATAAACCATAAGTTGGTGAGTAGGGCCTCAAGAAACACACTTAGACAAAGCCTACCCAAAGGAAAGAGCTGTATGCACATTTCCCAGATAAGCAACCCAGAAATCATATTAATTTTAGCAATTCTAATTGCATTTAAAATTAAGTGCCTTAGAAAGGTTAAAACTTTAACGATTTCACTTTGAATGACTGCATAAAGCATCATTGTTTAAATCATATTTGTTATCTTTCTTGTTCATCCATTGACAGTAAATACAGTATTATTCATTAGTTCAATCACATTAAATTAATCTTTCTCTCATTCATAAAGTACCCTCCTGGTAAACATGAATAAATGATAGACATTAGGAACTCAAATTACCCACTGCAGAGATCACTTAGCAGAATATCTAGAAGGAATGAAAGCCAACTGGCCTATTCTTCCCCAGCATGGGTTGGAAACCGAATTAAACCCTTGGATATATTTCTGTTTGACATGAGAATTTGCAAAAGCAAAACACCTACTGTAAACAAGTGCTAATACACAGGTTACACTGGAAGCAGATGATGAAACTGATACTTTCTTTGACACTACGAATTTTACAGCATAAGCTGCACTGTTTAATCTCCCCTCAGACAAATGCTCAGTTTCCATTCTGCTTTTATTCTTCTGCAGTTATGTTTTTAAAGCACTTATGTGACTACACATCATTGCTGATATGATTCTCAGGAGCATCTAAGAACCAGGACCTGGCCTTCACAGGCTGGGTGGCTGGGAAGACCACAGCCAGCTCCTCGGTGCTTCTCACCTGTGATCCCGTCCTCAGACCCAACTTCTTGCTCTCTGGGCAGCGTAGATACCCAATGTATTTAGGAATGCTTTCCTGGGGCCAAAGACCCCTGTTAAACCTGCATCCAGGTATCTTGTATTTTCAGGGACCAACACTGTAGGCTGGCACCTGGATCTCCCACCTCCAAGACATAGGCTTCCTCACTGGCTAAATCAGTAGGTCCTTTTAGTTAAAGCCCACTCTACCCCCATGAAATTTGCGCTTTTGGCTGCACAGGGACAGGAATTGAATAGGAGTAGTCCATCTGTCCCATCCTACCTGGTGACTAGAGCACTCCTTCAGGGGCAGCTCTGGATTTTGACTCCTCCTCAGCCGGACTCCCACCTCCCAGCAAGGAACCAACCTTAAAAACAACCCTCCAGACACCTACAGGAATCCTATGATTATTTGAGGCATTTTTTTATTTTTTTTTATTTATTTGCATCCTTAAGTGCTTATGCAAGATGCCTACTGGGATTTCTGGAAGTGCCCGGAAGCCCAAGTAACTAAGGTAACATTTCCAGAAGCTCCCACTGTAACCTGTGTAAGGCACTACACTGCAACTGCAGCATGGAAGACAGCTTCATTACCATGTGCTGTAGAAATCCCAACAAACCAAGTTGGATGGGGACAGAAGCAAAGGAAGTGCTTAAGTTTTCAATATTTTTGTTTAAAATAATTATGCCCCCCCCAAACAGGTGGTATGTTTTTATAAAACATCTGAAAATTCTGTAAGAAGGCATTTTGCTTGTAGATAAGCTCATTATCCTCATGAGGTTCAACAAGGCCAAGTGCAAGGTCCTGCACCTGGGACGGGGCAACCCTTGGTATCAGTACAGGCTGGGGGATGAAGTGATTGAGAGCAGCCCTGTGGAGAAGGACTTGGGGGTACTGGTGGATGAAAAGCTGGACATGAGCCAACAAGGTGCGCTTGCAGCCCAGAAAGCCAACCGTATCCTGGGCTGTGTCAAAAGAAGCATGGCCAGCAGGTCGAGGGAGGTGATTCTGCCCCTCTGCTCTGCTCTGGTGAGACCTCACCTGCAGTGCTGCGTCCAGCTCTGGAGCCCTCAGCACAAGAAGCACATGGACCTGTTGGAGCGGGTCCAGAAGAGGGCCACAAAAATAATCTGAGGGCTGGAGCACTTCTCCTACAAGGACAGGCTGAGAGAGTTGGGGCTGTTCAGCCTGGAGAAGAGAAGGCTGTGGGGAGACCTTATTGCGACCTTCCAGTACTTAAAGGGGGCCTATAGGAAAGATGGGGGCAATCTTTTTAGCAAGGCTTGTTGTGACAGAACAAGGGGTAATGCATTTAAACTAAAGAATAATAGATTTAGACTGGATATAAGGAAGAAATTTTTTACACCGATGGTGGTGAAGCACTGGAACAGGTTGCCCAGAGAGGTAGTGGAGGCCCCATCCCTGGCAACATTCAAGGTCAGGTTGGATGGGGCTCTGAGCAACCTGATCTGGTTAAAGCTGTCCCTGCTCACTGCAGGGGGGTTGGGCTAGATGACCTCTAAAGGTCCCTTCCAACCCAAAGCATTCTATGATTATCACTATTCTATCTTTCTTGCCGTTTCTCTGAAACATCTTGCACTAGCTATGGTCAGAAATAGGATCTGAAGAAATACTGGGACTTGCTATGAGACTATTTGCCACCCCCTTTATATTAGAAAGGAACTGAGGAGATAATAAGAGCTCTCTAGTTCTCCCTCTGCTTATGGCTTCAAGATCTTCCTGAAAAAATACTTTTATTATCTGCTCCAGTGCAAGGCTTTCCTGAAAGCATGAAATATGTAAAACCCAGCTGGTATCATTTTCATCACTGTATGTGTATTATCTTAAAGAATGGTTTCATTTTGTTTTCATTTGAAAATATATTTGGTAAATATAAACATGTAAGTCATCATCTCCCACCCTTCTGTCCCACAATGAAAGCTAGAGGTTTGCCTTTGGGATACATAGACAGTGTCTTCAAAAATACAAGAAATTGAAGAAAAAACAATGCTTATTCTGGTTAAGAGAGAAAGATACCCTTCTCATGTTGAACAAAGGTGTACTGCAGTAGGACATATGGCTATTTTTCCAGAGCTCATAGAGCAGAGCTGTTATCTGCAGTAAGAGCTAGGTATCCAGTGCCTAGACATAGTCCATCCAAGTGACATGCGTTCGTCAACCAGGGAATGAGCTGCTTGCTTGGCAGGTGTTACACCCAGCCTTGTATAGCCTTATCTTACAACAGGTACACGATGGAGGAAGGTGACCATACCTTTCTATGTTTTAAAGAGATTTGTAAACCAGGCCATTTGGAGCTGACATGAATGAAGGATGCCCTCTAAGTACCTCTTAAGCACCTACCTTCAGAAGCATTTCCTCATGTTGCAGATTCTCAGCATCATACGGCTCTCTGCGCAGCTTTTCAACCTCTGCAATTAGATTTCTGTACCCCACAATCTGAAGCAGGCATGCCTGAAGAGATACTCCCAACCTGGGGGTGGCGGGGAGCAACATAATCTAACTCAATCACATGTAGCCATGAAACAGCACTACCGTGTACATACTTATTTAATTCACATGAGTAATGTTACGTCAATGAATTGATAGTCTAACACTAATTACAATGGGAGAATTTTCAAGAGATCAATATTACATTAAACAAGGCCTTGTGAAATGCATAGTCTTATTTAGTGCCTTCCTTAGATAATAAAATTTGGGATTTTTTTAGATCTTTGAACAGTGAATTTTCACACACTGAAATCTCATTGTAACTATACACAGCAGCACTGAACGCCTGCTACAAGCGCATCACTGAATGTTTCCCCTCATTCAAATGGCAGCTTCTCATACAATGCCCCAAGACCAGAGATGTGAACTTAGAATGGGGTGAGGAGGGGAACTCAGCAAAAAGCTAAAAATACTCATCTTGCTTCCATGCCACAAATGCTTGCATAAAGAAGCCAAAATCCTGAAGTAATATAGTTCAAAGATCTGCCTCTAGGCAGCATTTTTTTTTTTTGTCTCATGTTAAGAATCACCATAATGGCTTTCTTTTCATTATAGTGCAGATTTTATATTTCCTTTTTACATTTCCCGACGCATTGGTTAAAAAAAAAAAAAAAAAAAAAAATCAAAAAACAACCCCAAAAAACCAAACCAAAACAAACCCTCAAAACCCCTACCAAACATATGGCTTCCAAGGGTTTAAGTCACAAAGACTTATTTAGTTTTAGGTTAAGATTTTTTAATATTAAATACAAGTAATGCAGTACACAACTGCCACGCTCATAAGAATATTTAATTATATATGGGAATAAACCCTTTAATTTTTAATAATGACTCAAATTATCTGAATG